CAAGCTTTTTATGATATCGTGTGCACCGCTCCTATATTTACAAGTTTCCTGAATTCTCTTCTATCGAAAATGTGAGAAACCGTATTTGTTTGTCATTTCATTTTCCAGCCACATGGGGCCTGGGAACCTGAAAATGGAGCCTTTGAAATTAGTTGGGCTGCTCAGGCACAGAGTAGTGAAAGACTTAAAAGGTGCCATCGTGTTTTTCTTTCATGTCCTTTTCACATCTGCGGTGGTAGTCTGTTAGTGAACGAACGGTGTAATGTGAGCAAAATCTTGGCCCTTGGATTTTTGCTCTTAGCAAATGAAATGACATGATTAGAGGAAATTTATACTTACCATGTTTCCTAGGAAGTGAGAAGTATATATATTATTATCTATTTGTTGTTTCACAATTACTGCATATAAACTTTGTGCCAGTTTATTCAAAGGGCTTAATCGATAGTAATTCTTAATCCATCCTCACAACAATCCTTAGGCAATACTGTGAGGTTTACTCTACAAGTTCTTGGAACAGTGAACTTAAAATGTAAGCCCGTTTTGGTGCAAATATTTTTTTTAAATCATGCATAGGTTTTTCTTTCTTCTTTTTCTTCTTCTTTTTTTTTTTTTTTTTTTTTTTTTTTTTTTTTTTTTTTTTGACAGGCAGAGTTAGACAGTGAGAGAGAGAGACAGAGAGAAAGGTCTTCCTTCCATTGGTTCACCCCCTAAATGGCCGCTATAGCCGGCGCTGCGCCGATCCGAAGCCAGGAGCCAGGTGCTTCCTTCTGGTCTCCCATACGGGTGCAGGGCCCAAGCACTTGGGCCATCCTCCACTGCCTTCCTGGCCACAGCAGAGAGCTGGCTGGAAGAGCAACCGGGACAGAATCCAGCGCCCCACCAGGACTAGAACCCGAGTACCGGCGCTGCAGGCAGGATTAGCCTAGTGAGCCACGCGCTGGCCATGCATAGGTTTTCCATAACACACATTTTCCATGAACTTTTTGAAGAACCCCTGTATACATGGATTCCAAGTTTCTGCTCTGAAGTTAATTTATCCTTTCATTACATTTCTCCACGAGCATTTTGAAGTACCATTCACGCCCTTTTCTGAAAGAGGATCACTAAGTGTTCTGTGATCACAGAACAACCCAAGCAAGCACCCGACTCAGAGCCACGCAAGCCTCAGAAATTCACGTGTTGACATCATCCAGAATGTCATTGCTGCTCAGCCTCTCCAAACGTGCAGCCCCCTCTCCTCTTCTGGTATCTAGTGAAGACAGTGTAGGTTCTCAAAAAGAAACAGATTGAGGGCCATTGGGAAAGTCCTGGATTTTGAAAGTTAAGTTGAAAATACAGGTTGAACCTGCCTTCCCCAAACGCTTGGGAGGGGAGTTTGGGATTTGGGATTTTTTCAGATTTTGAAATGTTATAATATACATAATGAGATCCTGGGATGGGACCTGAGTCGATATCAGATTCCCTTCTGTTTCATATGCACCTTATAACATAACCCAAGGTTATTTTATACATTTTTGAATGTATCTTTCTGTGGACTCTGACTTGTTACATGACACCAGGGGTGGAATTTTCCATTTTGGAATATCATGTCAGGATTCAGAAAGCTTCAAGTTTGGATTTTTTTTTTTTATAACCTATACCATGATTTTCCCCAATTGGTTACTTAACAGGTTAATCAAACTAAGGCTGCATTAAAACCAATAACGTGAATGTTGGTAACCGGGTACAATCAACTGCATTTTCTCTGGAGACCAGGTTGCCAGTGACAACGAAGGTAAGTAAATCATTTCATCGCATTGATTCTTTTTTTTTTTTTTTTTTTTTTTTTTTTTGACAGGCAGAGTGGACAGTGAGAGAGAGAGACAGAGAGAAGGTCTTCCTTTGCCGTTGGTTCACCCTCCAATGGCCGCCGTGGCTGGTGCACCACGCTGATCTGAAGGCAGGAGCCAGGTACTTATCCTGGTCTCCCATGGTGCAGGGCCCGAGTACTTGGGCCATCCTCCACTGCACTCCCAGGCCACAGCAGAGCTGGCCTGGAAGAGGGGCAACCGGGACAGGATCCGGCCCCCCGACTGGGACTAGAACCCGTGTGCCGGCGCCGCAAGGCAGGATTAGCCTAGTGAGCTGGGGCACGGGCCGGCATTGATTCTTATCTAGAGTTAAGTTGATTGCGTGTGAATGCTTGGGATTTAAAAATCTTTGTCACAGATGTTTCACATACTTGCCCATGTACTCACAGATCTTGGGAAAATGGGCATGTTTGCAGAATCAGAAGCTAATTCCACCATGGATCACTGTGTCACTGCCAGTTGACTCACCCTTCAGCAGGTGGTTATTTCACACTAATAGTGATCAAACTCCAGCCCTGGCTGTTTGTGGAGAATGAGTTAGGCACAGGCCCTCTGCTAAGTTGCCAGTGTCCAACATTATCTCATTGGAGCCTCCCCCGAGTCTCCTGAGTCAAGGTTCTATCCCAAGTGACACACCAGTAAATGACAAAGCCGCGAGCTACCGGCGGAGCCTGTTTTGACTCTGCGCCCCTCCCCTCTCCATCTTGTGCTGTTCCAATGGCTGCAGCTCTGTGCATCTTATTCCCAAGGCGCATTTCCTAAGCTAACTCTCATGTTTGATTTTAGTCATGAAGTCACTTGCCAGTTTTTTTCTTTTAGTTTATTAAGGGACTTGTTTTGCTTTTCCAGGATAGTATTCTATTAAATTTTTTTATATGTATAGTTTTTTTAAAAGTTATATACGCACTTAGGACCCACAAATTGTGGGACAGAAATTATCCTGATTTTAAACTCCACTTCAGTGTCCCTTGTTGTGGATAAACACCCTGTAATATCTGGTTGGTAGGCATTAAAAAAGTGAAAATGACCACAGTGGCCTATTTGTGATTGACAGGCGTGTAGGCATGTCTGGTTGGCCGCGATCTAAGGTGAAACACTTCACCACATGCGCAGAACTGCCTACTGCCAGTCAGGGAGTGGGGAAGGGCACCCTTGCCGCTCAGAGATTCAGCTCCGTCCTTGCCTTTAGTTGGCTGTAACACGGGAAAGGAGGGCTGAGTCACGTTAGGGCGAGGAGCGAGGGAGGGATAAATGGGTCAATACAACCAGAGATTCTGTTTTTAAAGCAGGAAAGGGATTTGGCATTATGTGGACAGACTCATTTTAAAAATGGAGAAGTGTGGTTTTTCATTTTCCAAGAGGAAGATCGCTTACCCTGGCTAGTCAGCAAGGCCTGTGGCTCTGAGACCATGCTTTCCCCATGTTCTACCTGCGATGGAACTTCAAGAATTCATAGGAAGTGGAATTAAAAGAAAAGTTTGTTTTGGTCAAAATTGCCTTTAGTTGGTGTCAAGCTGCATTTATTTTATTTTTTTTAAACATTGATTTATTTGAAAGGCAGAGTTACAGAGAGGCAGAGATGTACAGAGGTCTTCCATCCACCGGTTCACGCCCCAGGTGCCACAATGGCCTGTACTGGCCAGGAGCTTCATCTGAATCTCCCATATTGGTGGCAGGGGCCCAGACCTTGGTCCATCTTCCACTGCTTTTCCCAGGCCTTTAGCAAGGAGCTGGAGCGGATGTGGAGCAACCAGGACTCGAACTGATGGCCATACTGGCATCACAGGTGGCGGTTTTACCTGCCATGCCACAATGCCAGCCCCTCCCGGCTGCATTAAATACTGAGACTGTAGATGCTTTAGAATTGATGATTATGCATTCTGCTCAGTTTTGTTGTTGTTGTTCGTTTGGGAGAATCTATATAATGTTCAGGATTCTTATAAAGCCAAGTAGAGACATTACTATGTAATACCTTATTTCTCTTAAATGATCATACTCATTTATTCTGTATGAAGCTCACTCAGACCACAATAGTTTTACAAACCACATGAGTATTTCCTGTTGCTACAGTGAATTTTGAACGTTATTTGCAGGGACCTCAAGGATGAGCACATGGGTTTCTGTGATTACTCTCATTTAGTGGGTATCTACTGTGGTTACATCTTCTTGTCATATCTTTGACTTCATCCTGATATTTCCTTACCAATCCTGTCACCCTGCTCCTCTAAAAGATAGGTATTTCTTATGCTCATTTTACAAAACAGAGACAGAGGCTAGAGCTTCATGAATTCCTTAATGCCACACACAGAGCCGGAGTTTGAACTCAGGTCAATTTGACTGTGAAACCACCATCATCATTACTCATTTTTTTTTTTTTCCACTCTCCATTCTGTTTCTTTCAGAGGATTATCTTCGTTATGCCCATGGTCTGGTATCTGATTACATCCCTAAAGAATTAAGTGATGACTTAGCTAAATACTTGAAGTAAGTGCTATTCATTCAGTGCCTTTGTACGTCTTGATTTCTTCAGCAGTGGGGTTTCTGCATGGCTTATCCTGTCCTGTTTGTGATAACAGTCATTCCTGACTTAGTTGGTGTACTCCACTCTGGTTTGGAGGTGATTTTTTTTCATGAGTATTGATTGGAATGAGTTGACTTGGGGAAGCCAATTGCAGGAAGCAATGATTTTGGGACTGAGATTATTGCTTTGTGTAATTTTAGAAGATAAGCTTAAAATTTTACCTGCAATGAGACTTACTTAGCTATTCTTTGGGATAATTTTAAGAAAAAGAAAGGTTGGAAGGCAAGTAGATAGTCTGTAGAATGTGTATGAAAATTATGATTCAGGCTTTGTATCTTTTTTAAAATTTATTTATTTATTTGAAAGACAGAGTTAGAGAGAGGTAGAGAGAGAGAGGTTTTCCATCCGCCGGTTCACTCCCGAAATGGCCGCAACAGCTGGAGCTGTGCCAATCCACAGCCAGTAGCCAGGACTTCTTCCAGGTCTCCCACATGGGTGCAAGGCCCAAGGACTTGGGCCATCTTCTGCTGCTATCCCAGCTATAGCAGAGAGCTGGATCAGAAGAGGAGCAGCCAGGACTAGAAATGGCGCCCATATGGGATGCCGGCACTTCAGGCCAGGGCGTTAACCCCACTGCGCCACAGCGCTGCCCTGCTTGTACCATTCTTAATATTATCAGATAATGAAACCCTGTGTCCTTGAGGGATAGAAGAAGAGTTTTAAGTATGACTTCTTATGTATCTCTTCCTTATAAGATCTTAAGTATAAAAACACTTTATTTTACTTTATTTTTTTAAAGATTGATTGATTTATTTTAAAGAGTTTGAGGAGGAGAAATGCAAAGAGAGAAATCTTCCATTTGCTGGTTCACTCCCCAGCTGGCTACAATGGCAAGGACTGGACCAGGAAAGCCAGGAGCCAGGGTTTCTTCCAGGTCTTCCACTACGGTGGCAGGACTCAATCACTTGAGTCATCTTCCACTGTTTTTCCCAGGCCGTTAGCAGGGAGCTGCATTGGAAGTGGCAGCTGGAACTTGAATCAGCTGGGATGCTGGTGTTGCAGGTGGTGGCTTTACCCTCACCCCACAATGCCAGCCCAATATTTTACTTTATTGAAGCGTTTATTTTCTAGAGTTTAGCAGTTGTTAGGATTTTATGTGTGTGTGATGTGTAACTTTTATTAAAATCTCAATTAGAGTCTTGTCTTCCTCTGACCAATAATAGTTGCGGTTTTTAGCAACTTCCTTAGATCCTGCTTGCCTTTTTTTTTTTTTTTTTGATCAGTGTCTATTTCTTATGCATTTTTGATACAGTGTAAAAAGCAGAAGTAGCTGGTTTTTATAGTAGTGTTGAAACCTACTCTACATTAATATTCATACCTTTCTGCTTAATATTTCCCTGGGTTTCTTTTATTTTTTAATATTTATTTTATTTACTTGAAAGGCAGAGTTACAGAGAAAAGGAGGGCGGGGAGAGAGAGAGAGAGAGAGAGAGAGAGAAGTAAGAGATCCATCTTTCATTTTTCTGTTTCATTCCCCACATGGCTACAATGGCCAGGGTTGGGCCAGGCCAAAGCCAAGCACCTGCAACTCCATCTGGTCTCCCACATGAGTGGCAGGTCCCAAGTACTTGGGCCATCTTCCACTGCTTTCCCAGGTACATTAGCAGGAGCTGGATCAGAGTGGAGCAGCCAGTGTGAACAGGTGCTCACAGGGATGCTGATATCATAGGCCATGGCTTACCCCTTTGGCCCACAATGCTGGCCCCATTCCCTGGATTTCTTACTGCTTATGCAATTAGACACTGTCTTTACATTCTGTTCTTTGTTGAGATTCTTTTCTTTCCACTGAAAATTTCAAGTTTTGATTAAGAGTTTGGGAGAAAGATATGCCAATTAAATCTCTCTCTCTCTCTCTCTCTCTCTCTCTCTCTCTCTTTTAAAGATTTATTTATTTATTTGAAAGGCAGAGTTACAGAGAGAGACAGAGTCAGAGACTGAAAGCAAGATGTTCCATTAGCTGGTGCATTCCCCAAATGGCTGCAATGGCTTGAGCTGGGCCATTCTGAAGCCAGAACCTGGAACTTTTTCCAGGTCTCGCACACGGGGCAGGACCCAAGCAGGTGGGCCATCTTCTGCTGGTTTTCCAGGCACATTAGCAGGAAGCTGGATGGAAGTAGAGCAGCTGGGATTTGAACTAGTGCCCATATGAGATGCTGGCACCTTAGCCACCTGCTATACCACAGCGCCGGCCCCTAAAGTTCTCTTAACAGAAGAAAAGATGAAGTGTAGCTTTTTGTCAACTGCTAAAACAGTTTTCACTTTTAAATATAGGCTAACATCTTTATTTATGAAGAAAATGTACTCCAGTGCCAACATGCAAATTTACCCAAGCCAAAGAAAACTGATTCCATTTCAACAGTGGGTTCTAATTTTATTTTTTAGTTTCAGAAAATTCTGATACAAAGAGTTAAGTTATGAAATGAAGATTGGTTCATGTAGAAAAATTGTGTTCTTCACACTGAAGTGATTGAGCAGTAACATGTATGGAGGGACAGTTTTAGAATGAAAAGTGGGACTTACTAAATCTTGAGTTGGCCTGGTCTTTCTGTTTGCTTGTCTGTAAAAAACCATGACTGCAATTCTTATTTTTACCTTCCTCAGGCTTCCAGAACCTCCAGCTCCATTGCCAAACCCTCCATCAAAGGTAAGAAACTGTGACGAAGAGATCTTTGGGGGATTTGGAAAAATATTAAACTTTGACCGCATACTAATGAAGGGATAAAAGTGGCCTTGATGAAATAGAAAAACAGGAACTGAGACAAACAGTTCCAGAAACAGTCATGGGAAATGGGGGAGTAAACTGGTTCACAGAGAAAGCAGTTAGATACTACTCAGAGATACGGGCGACAGAACATCCTGTTATGTACATAAGCCCCCTCCCCTGTGCTTGCTCAAGCTTAACAAAGAAACCGCAAGGACATCAGGCACGTAGCCACCCGTTTCTCTTCCTCAACGACCCCCACCAACATACCCTTTCGACCTAGTACTTTTCCACTGACAATACTTCCCTACCCACTCCCAAACTGCCATATTAGGTCAATTGCTGAGAATTATCCAATGAGCTATTTACACCAAGTAGAATGTTAATCTATGATAATTGTGTGGCTTTTCGCTTTAAATACTGCGTGTAATCGGGGCTCGGGGCTCCTCTCTTTCTCGCTGCTTGTGGCAGCAGAGGGCCCATTTGCGCAAATGAAATAAAACTGCCTCTTGCATTTTGCATCGCCTGGTCTGGAGTCTGTGTTTCTGGGGTCGTCACAAAAGGGCACCACTTTTGGGGTCCTTCATTTGGGGGCTCGTCCGGGAACTGGGAGACCCCAGACTCCCACACTCCATCGGCCTGACGGAGGTAAGTTTGCTTACTTGTATATTATTGTAATTGTGGTTTGTACTATTTGTCCTTGTCTGCCAGGGAGACGTGGAATCCCTCCTGGGGCGCCTGTGCAGGCTCAGTATTGGACCAGTGGGGGAGACAGACGTGTCCTGAGACCCCTGGTCCCACCCTGGAGGACGCTCCAGTGGTGGTCTGGGAAGAGGGGAAAGAGAGCATTTCCCTTCTTCCAGGGGAGAGTCTGGCCAGACGGCCGCTCCCATCTGAAATTTTAGTTTCGGTTTTGTCTCGGTCTGTTGCCGCGCGGCTTGTGATTTGTGTTCTGTGTGTCGCTGTTTTTGTCGTTCTTTATTTCTTACTGTCTCCCCCATCTGTCGTCCTGGGGCAACAATTAACAACACCTTTGAGCCTGACTCTAAGACACTGGAAGGAGGTTTGAGAGATCGCCCGCGGGTTGTTGATGGAAGTCCGCAAAAAGGAGTGGGTGGCGCTTTGCACCTCCGAGTGGCCCACCTTCGGTGTCGGGTGGCCGAAGGACGGAACCTTTAACCTTGACTTAATTTTGCAGGTTAAAGACCAAGTCTGCCGTAAGGGTGGAGGGGGACATCCAGACCAAGTGCCATATATCACGGTGTGGGAAGACTTGACCCGGAAGCCCCCGCTTTGGGTTAAACCTTTCCTCGCACATGGAGACATCAAAGACCGTCAGCAGAAAGAGAAGGAGGAAGTTGGTGGGGGTCCCAGGCCTCCCCCGCTTCCCTCCTCAACTCCCCTGATCCCCGCTCCAGCAGGAACCCCAGTGCAAGGTCCCCCGCCAACCTCCGATCTCTATCCCCTAAAGGAACTTCAACCACCGAAAACAACATGTCCACCTGTCCTTTCGGGTGGACAGGAGGACCTCCTCCTTTTGGATCCCCCACCGCCATACAACCATCCGGCATTGAGGGAGGTGCCTTCCTCTGCCCCGTCCCCGGACTCAACGGTCCAAGAATCAAGGGGACCACAACCCACTCCCCTACGAGACCCATCACCGCCAAATACTCGCCTGCGCCTCCACCGAGAGCAAAGGGAGGGGGGGATTATTGGGCATCCCAGGCATTCCCATTGCGTTCGGTGTGGGGGGAGTTTCAGTATTGGCCATTTTCCGCGTCAGATCTCTACAACTGGAAAACCCACAACCCCCCATTTTCTCAGGACCCTCAGGCCCTCACAGGTCTGATTGAGTCGATTCTGTTAACCCTCCAACCCACTTGGGATGACTGTCAGCAGCTCTTACAAGCCCTCCTGACCACAGAAGAGCGGCAGCGGGTTTTCACAGAAGCCCGCAAAAATGTGCTGGGGGATGACGGCCGTCCCACTCAGCTACCTAACGAGATTGATGAGGTGTTCCCGCTGACTCGACCAAATTGGGACTTCAATACGGCAGCGGGTAGGGAGCGACTCCGTCTCTATCGCCAGGTTCTCCTGACAGGTCTCCGGGGGGCAGGAAGACGCCCCACCAATTTGGCCAAGGTACGTGCGATTGTGCAGGGTAGTGAGGAAACTCCGGCAGGATTTTTAGAAAGGTTAATGGAAGGATACAGAATGTATACTCCCTTTGACCCACAGGCCCCTGACCGGCAGGCCGACGTAATCATGTCCTTCATTGGACAGTCGGCCCCGGACATCCGCACAAGACTACAAAGGTTGGAAGGCCTGCAGGGATATACACTCCCCGACTTGGTGAAGGAGGCAGAAAAGATTTATAACAAAAGAGAAACTAAAGAAGAAAGGGAAGAAAGAGTACGTAGGGAACAGGATCAAAGGGATAGGAAAAGGGATAAACAATTAGTAAAGGTCCTGGCCACCATAGTTGCAGGGTCAAAAACAGGACGAGACAAGGGCAGGCAAGACAGGGACCAGGGAGACAAACGGAGACCGAGAGTGGAACGAGACCAGTGCGCCTATTGTAAAGAAAGAGGACATTGGGCCAGGGACTGTCCGAATAAGGGACGGCCAAGACCCCAGCAGAGAACCGCTCCGGTCTTTTCATTGGAAGACGACGAATAGGGCCAGGAGCCTCCCCCTGAGCCCCGGGTAACCCTGAAAGTGGGAGGCCGACCAGTCACCTTTCTGGTCGACACTGGAGCCCAGCATTCTGTCCTTACCACAGCTGAGGGCCCTCCAGTTCTAAGACATCATGGGTCCAGGGGGCCACCGGAGGAAAACTGTACAAATGGACTACTGAGCGTAAGGTCGACCTGGCAACAGGGCGGGTCACGCATTCGTTCTTACTAGTGCCGGACTGCCCATACCCCCTGCTGGGAAGGGATCTGCTCTCAAAGGTTGGGGCCCAGATCCCAAGACAGGGGAGCCACAGTAGTCGGCCCCGCAGGCCAACCCCTCCATGTGTTGACCCTTCGGCTGGAAGACGAACATCGCCTTCATGAGTGCCCCCTACCAGCTCAGTCCCAAGTAACATCTGAATGGCTTACTAAATTCTCCCAGTCTTGGGCGGAGACGGGAGGAGTAGGGTTGGCTGTCCGACAGCCCCCGGTGATAGTAAGCCTGAAGCCCACGGCCGCTCCCGTATCTATCCGCCAATACCCTATGGCTACGGAGGCAAAGGTTGGAATTCGGCCACACATACAGAGACTAATAAAACTGGGCATATTAAGACCTTGTCAGTCACCTTGGAATACCCCTTTGTTACCAATCAAAAAGCCTGGCTCCAATGACTACAGGCCAGTGCAAGATCTACGGGAAGTAAACCGTAGGGCTGAGGACATTCACCCTATGGTCCCTAACCCGTATAACCTGCTGAGCACCCTGCCCCCGACCCGAACTTGGTGTACGGTGCTTGACTTGAAAGATGCCTTCTTTTGCCTAAGACTGAGTCCCCAGAGTCAACCTCTCTTTGCCTTCGAGTGGAAAGACCCGGAGACTGGGTTTTCAGGACAACTAATGTGGACCAGGCTTCCCCAAGGGTTCAAGAACTCCCCTACACTGTTTGATGAAGCCCTACACCAGGACTTGGCGGATTTCCGGGTAAGCCACCCAGAGTTGACTCTCCCACAATACGTGGATGACCTGTTGTTAGCTGCAGAGACTGAGCAGGGTTGCACCAAAGGTACGGAGGCCCTACTCCATAGGCTGGGAGAGTTAGGATACAGGGCTTCCGCGAAGAAGGCCCAACTTTGCACCCAACGCGTGACCTACCTGGGTTACGTATTGGAGGGGGATCGGAGGTGGCTGACTGAGGAACGTAAAAAGGCCGTAGCGCTCATCCCGCCGCCTAAAAATGCTCGCCACCTCAGGGAGTTCTTGGGCAGCACCGGCTTCTGCCGCCTCTGGATACCGGGTTTTGCGGAGATGGCAGCGTCCCTGTACCCCCTTAACCAGGACAAATTCCCCGTTCATCTGGGGAAAGGAACAACAATTAGCATTTGACAAGATAAAACGAGCCCTCTTGGAGGCTCCTGCATTAAGCCTCCCAGACCCCGCTAAGCCCTTTACCCTCTATGTGGATGAGAAAGGGGGAATGGCAAAGGGTGTCTTAACTCAGAATTTGGGGCCCTGGAAAAGACCTGTGGCGTGCTTTTCAAAGAAACTGGACAGTGTCGCCTCGGGGTGGCCCCCTTGCCTCCACATGATTGCGGCTGTGGCCGTCTTGGTGAAAGACTCGGACAAATTGACTCTGGGGCAACCACTCACCATAGTGGCACCCCACGCCATCGAGGCCGTCATCCGCCAACCGCCAGACAGATGGCTCTCGAACGCCAGGATCACCCACTACCAGGCCATGTTGCTCAACCCTGAACGGATCCGGTATGGGACTGCTGCCTCGCTCAACCCGGCCACCCTGCTTCCTGAGCCGGGGTCTGAATCACAAGTCGACCACGACTGCCACCAAGTGTTAGCCGAAGTGCACGGGACCCGAGAGGACCTGACCGATCTACCCCTGTCAAACGCAGTCACCTGGTATATGGACGGGAGCAGCTTCTTGCACCAAGGCCTGGCTTAGAGCCTTGCAATTGATCCAGAGGCATGTGTGGAAACCGCTGGCGGCGGTGTTATCAGTCCAAGAGCCTTGCAGTACCTCACCCCTTCCAGACAGGGGACTCGGTCTACGTTCGTAGACACCAGACTAAGACCCTTGAACCGCGCTGGAAAGGGCCCTACACCGTACTACTGACAGCGCCAACAGCAGTGAAAGTGGACGGAATCGCGGCTTGGGTTCACGCCTCTCACGTCAAAAAGGCATCAGAAAAGGAGGAGAGTTCGGCCAAGGACACAAGTGAACCATCGAGATGGAAACTCCAGCACACTCAAAACCCCCTCAAGATAAGACTTCTAAAAGGTGCCTAATGTTTGTAATCATTAACCCGTTGCTTGTATTGCTTATGATTCACCCTAGTCTCACCCTATCCAGCTCGTCCCTCCCTAACCCCCATGGGCCACAAAAGCTCACTTGGGAAGTGGTCTCCCCTTCGGGTAGTGTGGCCTGGTCAACCAGCGACACTCGAGTACCAGGAACGTGGTGGCCTTCTCTCCACCCAGACGTATGCCAAATAGTCCTGGGGCTAGATACCTGGGATCTACCCAATCAGGACGCCGTCCCCCACCCCTCCACAGTTCCGGAGCCCTTCCTTTATCCCCCAGGAAGCACCACCACCATGGGGGCGGGATGTAGATATCGAGTTCGGAGATGCCGACTACGTCAACTTGAATTCTATGTGTGCCCCAAGGATGGTAGAAGACAGGATCAGATCTTCCGGTGCGGAGGGCCGGAGTCCCTATATTGTAAGGCTTGGGGGTGCGAAACTACGGGGGCGGCACACTGGGGGCCTTCCTCTGGGATTGGATTACTGTACAGCATAACTTCACTCCTGAGGACTCAGGTCAGTGTTCACTCCTCCTCCCAGGGAGTCGGGGGTCCACTTCCCCATGTGCAAGCTCCCCTACGTGCAATCCCCTTAATATTACCTTTACCACCTCAGGAAAGCAATACGCAACACTGTCCAGTTGGATAAAAGGGAGAATCTGGGGTTTGCGCTATTATGTTTCTGGTACAGATTTTGGGTTTTGGTTCAAAATTAGACTAAGAATCACCTCTCCCGACCCGCTACCGGTAGGGCCCAACAGGGCTCTGGCCCCTGCCTACCGACCTCCCCGGCCTGAGATGACCAAGCAGCTGACTTCTAAGGGAACAGGTTCACCGGCGCCGACCTCTATGAGGACAGGCTCACCGGTTCCCCTCGCAAGCCTACCTGCAGGGGAGAGAGCGATGTTGCTAATACGAGGCGCCTTTTCGGCATTGAATCTGTCTCACCCTAACCTGACCAACCCCTGCTGGTTATGCTTGTCCGCAAGCCCGCCCTACTATGAGGGAGTAGCTGTCGTTGGAACCTTCAATACCTCCTCGTCCCACCGGCAGTGCCCTGCCGTTAAACCCCTGGTAACTTTGGCGGAGGTCTCAGGGAGGAGATCCTGTGTCGGGGACCCACCCTCGGCCTACCGGTGCCTCTGCAACACCACTGCCAACTCCTCCCTGGTGGACCAGAACTCGTACCTGGTGCCACCCCCCCCGGAACCTGGTGGGCATGCTCTCGCGGCCTCGCTCCCTGTGTGTCCACCACTGTTCTCAACGGGACGGGGGATTTCTGTGTCCTGGTGGCACTCGTCCCGAAGGTAATTTACCACCCAGAAAACACACTCGAGGAGCGGTACGACAGCACTATAACCAGGTTCCGTAGGGAACCGGCCTCCGTGACCCTAGCAGTGCTACTGAGCTTTGGGGTAGCGGCCACTGGGCTGGGCACAGGGACGGCCGCCTTAACCCAAGGAAACAGCAGACTAGCGATCCTTCAACAGGCGGTGGACGCGGACATCATGGAGATAGAACAGAACCTCCAACGACTACAAGAGTCCCTCACCTCCCTCTCAGAGGTAGTAATCCAAAATCGCAGGGGCTTGGACCTGTTGTTTCTAAAAGAAGGAGGGTTATGTGCTGCTCTCAAAGAAGAATGCTGCTTCTATATAGACCACTCCGGGGTAGTAAAAGATTCTTTAGCCAAACTAAGAGAGCGGCTGGAAAAAAGACGACGAGAAAGGGAACAGACTCAGAGCTGGTTTGAGGGATGGTATAACAGGTCTCCCTGGTTGTCAACCTTGCTCTCCACCATAGTGGGCCCCCTTATTATCTTAATCCTAATTCTGACCTTCGGGCCATGCATTATAAACCGATTACTCTAGTTTGTTAGGGACAGGCTGTCCACCGTGCAGGCATTAGTCCTCACGCAGCAGTACCAAGCCCTGGCCACCAGTGACCGTATTGAAACCCCTCACCAACAGCTTAACAGTAACAGGTACACAATTTTAGGATTAAAATTAGCTCAAGGAGAAAACGGGGGAATGAAGGGATAAAAGTGGCCTTGATAAAATAGAAAAACAGGAACTGAGACAAACGGTTCCAGAAACAGTCATGGGAAATGGGGGAGTAAACTGGTTCACAGAGAAAGCAGTTAGATACTACTCAGAGATACGGGCGACAGAACATCCTGTTATGTACATAAGCCCCCTCCCCTGTGCTTGCTCAAGCTTAACAAAGAAACCGCAAGGACATCAGGCACGTAGCCACCCGTTTCTCTTCCTCAACGACCCCCCCCCACATACCCTTTCGACCTAGTACTTTTCCACTGACAATACTTCCCTACCCGCTCCCAAACTGCCATATTAGGTCAATTGCTGAGAATTATCCAATGAGCTATTTACACCAAGTAGAATGTTAATCTATGATAATTGTGTGGCTTTTCGCTTTAAATACTGCGTGTAATCAGGGCTCGGGGCTCCTCTCTTTCTCGCTGCTTGTGGCAGCAGAGGGCCCATTTGCGCAAATGAAATAAAACTGCCTCTTGCTTTTTGCATCGCCTGGTCTGGAGTCTGTGTTTCTGGGGTCGTCACAAAAGGGCACCACTTTTGGGGTCCTTCACTAAATCCATCTCGCATGGAGTGATGCTGTGTGGAATATAGATTATACTGGGCTCTCCATCCCTAGTTTTGTTTTTTTTTTTCCCCCTGTGGAATTTTACCTGAATGGTAAATAAAGTGCTGTGAAAACCAAGTTGGTTTTAGCAAGACACCTCTATGAAAATGTTGCAGATACATGGTTAAAATGAAATCATCTATAGTTAGCTGGATCAATCAACTTTATTAATTTCTAGAAATACTCTGTGTGTAACTAAAACTCATTTTGCCAAATCTAGCTGCCACTGGGACAAGGATGCAAGGAACAGATTTTTGTGACACAGAGTCCTTTGAGCAAGGATGACCTTTTTTTTCCCTGAATTTGAAATGATATCAGAATTTGTCTTATTAGTTTATATATTTATTATTTTATGTATTTGAGAGGCAGAGACAGACACACAGACAGAGAGAGAGAGAGATCAAGCTCCCATTTGCTGGTTCATTCCCCAAGTGCCTGAAATGACTGTGGTTAGACTGGATCAGTGGCTTCTTCAGGTCTCCCACGTAGGTGGCAGGAACCCAGTTACGTGAGCCATCACCAAAGCCATAGGAAGCTGGAGTCAGGAGCTAGAGCCAGAGACTGAACTCAGATACTGTGATACGGGACACACGTGTCCTAACCACTAGGCTAACCACCTGCCCCAGTGATGAACAAATTAATCTGTAACTTTTATCTGTTAGGGGAAATCCCATGTCTCCCCCAGAGACTCTCAGACTGCTACCCACCGTTCCTCTACAGCTCGTGTTTGTCTCCCAGACCTGGGGAGCAGAGAAGCCACTCATACCCACACTTGGCTGCAGACTGTGGCGTCCCTCAGGCCAGCCCACATCAGATGGACAGGGACACACACAGATGGACAGCTCCCAGCTTATCAGGGAGAGGCCCTGAGCACCTGCCACATTCGAGGATATTAAACAGTTTTGCAGCCCCTCCATTCATTCCTTGGCCTTCAAGGTGGCCAGCAGGTTCAGGATTTTTCATCTCATGTCCTATTTGGAGGTCGGGGTGGCTCCAGAATATCCATGACTTTGCTTTTCAGAAAGGACTGAAGATGAAAAGGGCATCATTGTTAGTGGTGGAGGAAGGGACACGTTCAGTGTTTACTGTCCTGAGGAACAGCTCTGAGCTCCTGAGTCAGTTGCTATGAGATCCAAGAAAGGCCATTCCAGGCCAGACGCACGCTTCTTCCTGTCCAGCAGTTAATCGCGGCTAGTACTTCCAGGGGACACAGAGAGGCAGAGTTGTCTTGCTGTACCTAAGAGGGTAGGCACTGTGGAATGGCTTTTCTTACTTCTCTCTCTCTGCAAATTAAGCACATTTCTTTCTCCCGTACATCGGTCTTCCTTGGTAGCTTGCAGATCATTCACAAATTGGTCTAAAGCTCTTCTTGAAGGCTTCATAAAGCCTTGGGTACCTTCTGGAGTGATGCACTTCTAAGCTTATTATCTACCCCAGTTTTCTCATTTTATTTCCAGAATGTAAGTCATGTGTGATTTTGTCACTGATGATTTAGCTCAAGGGTCAGCAAACTTTTTCGACAAAGCCCAGGTAGTAAATATTTGAAACTTCCTGAAGCCAGCAGATGCGCAGCTCTGCTGTGTGCAGAAGCAGCCACAGGCGATACATACAGGAGTCAGCGTAGCCAGGCTCCAGCAGAACTTCACTTATAAAGACAAGCAGCCAGCTGGATTTGACCCATGAGCCGCAGTTGCCAAGCTCAGATTTAGATCTGAGCCAGGTCCTCCTGAGTCTCGGCCTCATCTGCTGCCTTGTTTTCCCCACTCCTTGACGGTCATCCCCTGGGGTGTGTCTTCCTGGGGTTCTGGTGTGTCCATTACCGGGTGTACTGTATCATGTACTACAGTTTCAACAAGCATAGGGCATGTCTTCTGCACGCTCTCCTGGTGTGCCCAGGATTTGATGGATTTTTGCAGTTGTGCGCTTGTTGTGTTTAAAGAAATCAAATACATCCCTGCAGCCGTTAAGTCCCTCTGTAGCTGGATTGTGGCTGATAGCATGGAGCCTGTCATCCCTACCGTGTATTGCATTTTTTAAACTACTATCATGTGTCTGTCTTTGTTGAAGCTCAGTTTTCAACCCTCATCCCTTGCGTCTTTCGTATTTGGCACGGTCAGCCAGCAGAGCTAAGCACAACCAGGGGACTGGAGGTGTTCCCAAGTTCCTGCTTGCAGGTCATTTATAACAAGAAGAGCAGGCCCAGCGTTAATCCCTGTGGTGCGCTGCTGTCTCTTCTCCTCCTTCCAGAACAGGACCCGTGCACTCAGAACCACCGGCACTGTCTTTCTGAACCACTTATCTGTCTCTGCAGAAACATTCCCCACACCCATAGGATGTGGTCTTTTAAACAAACGCACGTTTCAGTCAGTGCTCCAGTCCTGATATTTGTGAGTGCGTTCAACAGTGTGCTGGGAATGCGTAAAAACAAGTTAGGTGCGGAATCCACCACAGCCGTTGTCTTTTGTTTTCTATGAGCACTTATAACTGATGTCTGGTTTGGTTGTGAGCGATTAAGACACCTGAACAAGTCAGTCCTCTTAGCCGATGTTCTGTATTCATATGCGAGTACCTTTCATCTTTTTTTTTTTTTTATGTTTTGTTTACTTGTTTGAAAGGCAGAGAGACAGAGAGAGATAGACAGAGGCAGATCTCCCATCTACTGACTGATTCCCCAAATGCCTGCTGAGCCATCAGGGCTAAGCCAGGCCAAAGCCAGAAACCCAGAATTCCATCCAGCTCTCTCATGTGGCTGGCAGGGACCCAGGTACTTGCACCATCAACTGCTGCCTCCAGGGTGTGCATTAGCAGGAAGCTGGATCAGAAGCAGAGCAGGGATGCAAACCCAGGAACTCGGACATGGGATGTGGGCTAAGAGTTCTACTCTCCTGGATGAAAATACCTTTCTAATAAAAATGCACATCCCCATACACTCTTTGCTGTCTTAGTGGAAATAAGTAAGTTAAGAAAGTTGTATGTATACATACACTTTATGCTGGTAGGGAGTTTGTGTTTGATGAACTAGTCTTTTTTCTTTTGACAATTCATGTCCTGGGTGTTGCTATCTGGTCATAAGGATGTTTTCCCACATTATGTGATATATGCCCAGGATGCCTCTCTGTTTTCTGGAGCAAAGAAGTTCAAGACATGTATTTTTATCCCCTTGTGCTATGTGGGTGGTGGCCTCTCACCAACTCCACTGGGTCTTTGTGTAGCAGAAGGGAGGGCATGATAAGTGAAGCTGGGAATGAAAATGTGTTTCCCAGCTTTGGGTCTTGCCAACCCATTGTTTCCACAAAGACCTTGAAGATCCATAAAATACTGCTTGTGCTCACTGTACAGCCAGTTCTTTGTTTTAACCAGCAAGACCTAGTGGCCCTGATGTTGTACTTATTACTGATTAGGTATGGCAT